TTTTTTTTTTTTTTTTTTTTTGAGGCAGTCTTACTTTGTCACCCTGGTAGAGTGCTGTGGCATTCTGACTCACGGCAATCTCAAACTCCTTGGCTTATGCAATTCTCTTGCTTCAGCCTCCCAGGTAACTGGGACTATAGGTGCCCACCACAACACAACAGCTGCCCTTTTTTTTTTTTTCTTTTTTTTAGAGACGAGGTCTCACTCTGGCTCAGGCTGGTGTCAAACCTGTGAACTCAGGCAGTCCACCTGCCTCAGCCTCCCAGAGTGCTAGGATTACAGGTGTGTGCCACTACGTCTCACCAAGACATTATTAAGTTGTCTTTATTTTCTGGATAAAACTTATAATTCTGTATTGGATTGGACTAATGGAACTTGATTTTTGCAAAACACGTCCAAATCTTTATTGAATTAAATTGACTTTTGTTCATCCCTGCATATGTATTTCATTGGGTGATGAAGAGAGATGTGTGTTTACTTACTCCTGTTATGTTGAATAATAGGTAAGAATTACTTTAGCAAAAAAGACATTCCAATATTGGTAAAGAATTTGGACTTAGAAACAGAAGGAAGATGAAATATGCATGGGAAAAACTATTTTGGGTAATACAAAAGCAGATTCTTACATTTTTACTACATGACAACATGGGAAAGGAGTAGAACTATAATCAGAGGAAATTAAGGAGTTTTTTGAGAATTAGATATACCTGGGATCATAGCTTCTTTTTTTATATGTTGCATTAATGAATTTCCTATAGTAATAGACTGCTGAAGAATAGGTCAAACAGCCTAATATTCTATGTTTGGTAATATTTAACTTTTTTAGAACAACTGTTTCTTGCTGAGAAATTATTAAGTAAAGCCACAAATAGGAACTATGCCTCAAAATTTCAAAAAACGATACAGAAAGTTATCTACGGAAAGGAATAATTGTATATTGATGTTTTCCATTGTATGTGCATACATGGCATCACTGGTATGCTATCTTTGTACCAGATAATTAATATATAAAATGGTTACTGTTTCTTGAAAATAGAACAGTTGTGTTACTTACTTTCTTGTTGTTTTTGTTATTTCATAGACTATTGGTAGAGAAAATCTTTGCTCAGTATCTTGTTCCCCACAATCTGGAAACAGAAGAGAGAATGAAATGCTTATATTATTTATATGCTAACTTGGATCCAAATGCTGTAAAGTAAGTTACTCTTTAAATGACTGATGTCTTTCCTGAAGATTGCCTAAAATGACTTCATTTTGTCTAATTATTTGTTGTTGATGGGATTATTGCTGCTTCTATTTGAATTAAGAAACTCATAAATATTTATAGAGAAAAATACATTGATTTAAATTCAGGTCATTTAACAGCAAAAATTTGCATAGGCAGTAATAAAGAAGTCACCATGTCAAAATATCTGTGATAGGTATCTAAATTATACTACTGGTACATCCTTCCAGAGTAAATACTAAGCCTCAGAACTCAGTACTGTTTCTTTGTCATGAGATCACCTCTATGTAGCATGACCATATGATGGATTGTCCACCTAGGATATTTTTGAAACGAAAGGATCCACTATTAATTTTTTTTTAATAAGTGTTTGTTGACAAGGACACTGTTAATAATTTAGCTGGACAGCTGGCATAAACAAACCACTCCAGGCCAACCAAGATGTGCCGTCACTCTAATAGGCCTTTTTTAAAAGTAAATGTTATCCCCAGCCTGGGCCCGCCAAACAACAATGATGGCTGCAACCAAAAAAAATGGCCAGGCGTTGTGGTGGGCGCCTGTGGTCCCAGCTACTTGGGAGGCTGAGACAGGAGACTCGCTTGAGCCCAGGAGTTGGAGGTTGCTGTGAGCGTGATGCCATGGCACTCTACCCAGGGGGACAGCTTGAGGCTCCGTCTCAAAAAAAAAAAAAAAAAAGTAAATGTTAACAGTGTATACAGATAACATATTTTACACCATAAATACTTACAGTTTTTACTTGTTAGTTATAAACATGGAAAGGAAAAGAGTCCTATACCTTAGAATTCTGAATTCTCTCTGTTAAGATTTTAGCTATGTTATATATATTTAGAAAAGCTGATTTTCACCTACTTTTAAATTGACAAGGTAGTTGCAGGAATAGTACAAAGCAGCGTGTTAGCCCCTTTAGCTGTTTTTCATTTTTTACTATAGGCTATTTGTCCCTTCCTTCTCTTTATATACGTTTTCTTCTGAAAAACTGGAGAGTAATTTGCAGGCATTTGATCCCTTTATCCAAGAATACTTGTGTTGATTCCCTAAGAATGGGAATATTCTCTTAAATAACCATAGTATCTTGATCAAAATCAAGAAATTTAATGATGTGAAAATATTTTAGTCTAATCCCTTGTGTGTTCCACACGTCCTCAATTGTTCATGAAATGTTTGTTATAGGTATTTTTCCCTCAGTCTAGAATTAATTATTACAAGTTTAATTGTCATATCGCTAGTTTTTAATCCATAAGCATTCCTTAGTCTTTTGTCGTTTATGACTTTGATTTTTAGGGATGAACATAAGCCAAATGTTTTGCAGAATGTGTCCTCAATTTGGCTTCTCCAGTGTTTCCTCATACATTTTTGGCAAATATTTCACCAAAGTAATGTTGTATCAGGAAACGTTAACCATCATTTCTAAAAGGCTTACAAGTAGTCAATAATGTTAACTCTAGGTAAACTCTTGGCTTAAGGTTTGGGTATTTGTCTATGTTTCAAAATACCTAGCAAAGAGTACTCAGAGTAATTTTCCCAGAGGAGCTCTGGGCACCTAGTAGTATAGAGGAAATTGGGGGGGCGGGTTGTTTGTTTTTTGAGACAGAGTCTCACTGTGTCACCCCTGGTAGAGTGCTATGGTGTCAGAGCTCACAGCAACCTCAAACTCTTGAGCGATTCTTAGGCTTAAGTGATTCTCTTGCCTCAGCTTCCCAAGTAGCTGGGACTACAGGCGCCTGCCACCAATGCCTGGCTATTTTTTATTGTAGTTGTCATTGTTGTTTAACAATGTTCCAGGCTGGGTTCAAACCCGCCGGCCTCCGTGTATGTGGCTGGCACCGTAACCACTGTGCTATGGGCGCCAAACCTATAGAGCAGCGGTTCTCAACCTGTGGGTCATGACCCACAGGAACTGTATTAAAGGGCCACAGTATCAGGAAGGTTGAGAACCACTGCTGTAGAGGAAATTAGTCAGAGAAGAAAATCTGTGTTTATGGAAGGTCAGGGTCTGGAATAATCACAATCAATTTAAGCTTGACATTTGACTCTATCATTTCTAAGACACTGCAGTTTTTAGAAGCAGTCTGCATCCCTTCTTCACACATGTGGCTCCTTAGCCTGGCCACATAATAAGGTCCCTGTGATCCAATCCTTTTCTCTGCTATCCTGCAGGTTTCTTTTGCTCCTCACTCACCCCCGGGCTCCAAGCATACAAGTATTTTTGGTTTCCTATGTGTGCTGTGTACTTTGATGACATTTGATCTTTCCTTGTACCAGAACTTCATAGCAATTTCTGTCCAGAACATCTTTCAGTCCCTTTATTTACCTGGCAAAATTCTATTAATCCTTCTAAATTTTTGGAATATTTTTCTCATAAGAAGCCTTATATTTACCATTTATACCAAACTATCTTAAATCCTAATAAATAAATTTCTTGGGGCTTAAAATTTTAGGTAGATGTAGAAAAATGGTGTATATACACCAGGCATCCTCAAACTATGGCCTGCGGGCCACATGCAGCCTGCTTAGGACATTTATCCAGCCCACCG